TCTCATGAATATCCATCACTTGTATTGTCCTTTGCTTTTTTGCTTCACAAAGCAAACAATACACACCACAGAAACAACCACCAGTCAAACATTAGTAAGGAATGCGGTTGTAGTAAATAATGCCACAAATAGATTTCAAAGTGCAAAAGCAAACCATTTTGTGCTTCTTGGTAGTTCTCTTGAAGCCTCCTCCTCGCTGAATTTAGCTTTTCCACATCTACCACTGATTCCCTTGGAGGCCTCTGCAAATACCCATGAATATAACATTATGTTCTTCCCTCTAAGCCACATAGACAAAAGTAGCTGTTCCTTCAATGGTGTCAATTTACAAACCATTAACGATCGCCTTAAACACCACATGTTTATATTAATGGGCTGTTACTTAAACACAGAGGGAGTATTATGCATGCATATGTGCGTTCAATCTCCATCCTGAAGTAAAAGGCTACGACAACGAGCCCTTGAACCTTTTGCAGCCTTGGTTTGAATTACGGAACTCTAAACGACTTGACAAGAATAAAAATTACAACCAAGGATCCAAATAAGAAAACTAACTAACAAACCAAGTTGATGGGTTTGACAACTGCCTAAAACAATCATCTTGTATGCATTACAAAATCCTACATTAGTTGGCATGAACACAGCACGAGGAATCGTACCATATTCAGCAAGTCTTAGATTATTTTGACCATATGTCAGTGAACAACTATGATGCAAAATCCCTAATATTGGAAATGCATTGGTAAATAATCATTCCAACCCCAGTCCCTCAGAAGCTCCATGTCAATACATAAATGACATCATGCACTTCCAACTTTTACTCCCAAATAAACAGACTGAAACTTATGATTTATGAGTCTTTGTGCACGAGAAAGAATGAGGATATATACAGATGGAGGAGGAGCTGAAGCTGGCTTTGGAGCATATTGAAATGGTTTATTAGGAGTTCCATTCCTAGAAACTGATCTTGGCTTCTGTTCCTGTTCTGAATTATTCCGGTCTAAGCTTGAGCTCCCATCTAAAAAACATCAGACTCAGTTGGTCATATTGAGATTAAAAAGTACACTAAACTTGTCAAAGTGATTCATGAGCCATAATATGTGAATCCAATATTGAGACTTACTTCTTGGATTTGGAGAATATCCAAAATCAGGTACCTGAAAAGGACCATCATACTACTACTTAGACATTGAAAGTTTGAACTTTGTGTTTAATTTAATTTATGGTTCTTCAAAGATGCAATTAGTAATTTGATTAGAGCATAAACCTGATGATGACCATTCTGTTGATTCTTATACAAGTTCTGCTGGGGCGAGTCTCCCTCAGCTGTTGCCACAAGATTCATTGGTTACAAATTGCAGCTAAAAACTATTGAAACTAAAATAGTGCTAAACTGCTTGGGGAACAATACCAATTAGATTTGAAGAAGCTTGTTCGGGTTGGTTAAGCCTAACCCATTCATCTACAGTTTCTTTCCATTTTCTGCAAAGAAACCAAAGAACATTTATGTCATTAAGACACAAAAGTTTCATGAGAATTGTGTTAATGAATTATAAGCGAAACAGGTTAGCCAGTCATTAACTGCTTCATTCCCAAAAAACAACCAAAACAATTGTTTTAGTTGATTCTTTTGGTCAGTGGAATTAAAACCTGACTAGCTGTTTCACCAATCTCTTCACTTCATTTGATGGATGCTTCCTCAATCGATTCACGTGCCTTCCGATATCAGTTTCCTAACCAAAACGGATGAAAAGTTTGGTTTTCCACACAAATACTCCGGAACCCTCAGGGGGTAAAAAAAAGAAAGATTTTTTTTAACTCACCTTCAGAGCTTGAAACGTAATATCCATATCTTCAAGGTTTTGCAGCAACTCAATCACAGACTCTTCAGACTATTCCATCCAAAAATCACACTTTTAGCTTGAAAAACTGCAAACTAAGAGATGACAAGATGACTTAAAAGATTTCGAGAAATTATAAACCTGTTCCGGATCTTCAAGCTCCTCTCTGATTCTTAGAATTTTAGTCTGCTCATCGTCAAACAGACCTCCATACGGATCAGCATCCTCCTCCTCCTCTTCTTCTTCCTCTTGTTCACCTTCTTCCCGTTCATCATCAACATGACGACGATGGTTAGACTCCGGGCTCGAAGGACTCTTACTAATAACACTATTGAAGTTCACAACACCGTCGGCAGCGAAGTGACCGTTGACTTGGTCGCTGCAGTTCCGGCAGCGAATCGAGTACAGCTTCTCAACGATTCTGTCGCGGCGATCCTTCAACTCATCGGCGTAGTCCACCGACGCCACCTCAATCGCCGTCCCAATCAGCGTCCACACATCCGTTTTGGAATTCGACAAAATCAACCGGAGTTCATCTCCGTCCATTCTTCACCGGATCGTTAGTTCGCTTTAATGGGTCTTTCTGTATTAAAAGAATGTATAAACACGAGGGACAGGATTTCGTGGTCACGTCACCAGATCTGAGACTTGAATGGAGGGCGTCACGCGATCTAGGAACGACGCCGTTCTGGGCAGCTTGTCGGAAAGGCGGAATTTTGGTCCATGGAAACTGAAGCAAAAGAGAAGGCAGGTTTGGAGTTAGAGCAGAGGTGGTACAGATAGCGTAGAAGGAGGAGGCATCGGGATTTGGGGGAAGGGGTTATTTTCGTTTTTGCCAGAAAAGAGTGTTCTGGGAAACTTCAGGAGCTAAGAAGGGTATCTCCTGGAATAATAATCGTCTGATTCCCCTTTTCTTTTTTTACGCATATTTTATTTATTATACTCGCTTTCCGCCTCTCCCTCCTCCATCTGTCTATTTTTTACTTTTGAAATTGAAAAGAAAATTTGTTGGGTGATTATTTCTAAGATAAGATGATCATATAAATACGTCTAAAAAGTATTACGAAAAAATGATGAGATATAAAAAGTAATTACTTCAATCGTTTAACAGAATAACAGGTGCCACTTGTTCTTTAAGATAGGGCCTTTTAATGTTGAGGGCCCCAATAATTTTAAGGGTAATATCAATATATTGTGAATTATTTTGTATTAATATATTATACGGAGTAATAATAATTAATATTTCTAAAGTAGTGTGTACGTGGCACGCATGCAATAGCCAATAGGAAGAATGCGACCCACCCGTAATTCGGTAATATGTAGCGGAACGGCTCCGGCAGCTACAAAAAAATAACAAAAAATGATCTATGTTTGTGAAGTGTTTTTTTGTTTGTGAACCCTAATTGACAAATAATATTTTGCACAAACAAAATATTGTTTGTGAACTCGGTTCACAGACAAAAAAAAAACACTTTACAAAAATAGTGGGTATAAGAGTGGGTACATCAAACATTATTGAGAAAAATAAATGGCACACTCACTCTCTTATTGAGACCAGATTTGAGAAACCAAACTAGATCAAGACAAACATGATTAGTCTAGATCAGTTATAAAATTCACAGGAACAAAACATTTACTAGATTAGGCCAATTCGGATCAAACCAAATCAGAGCGACATAAAAGGGCGATAAAGATGTTTTTACTTGAACATTTTCAGTCGAATATCAGATCAGTCGAATAAAGATCTTATTTGACCTTTTTTGTTAGTACGTGGGCTTATTTGCCCCTTTTCCCAAACTTTCGAGTTTGTATATTATTAGTATATATAAAAGGGCATAATGGTAATCCTGAGTCCTATTCAAAGAATTATGCTCCGTAATATTTTAGCCCTCTTTAGATATTTGTGTTTAGTTTTAGTCTTAAATACGAGTATTCTAAGTTAAAAACAGATCAAGATCATCCAAAGAATCAAGAATGAACCTAAAAAGCTCGGATCAAGGAAAAATCAAAGCGACCAAACAAAAAAGAATTGACCATTTGAAAAATTGTTCATATATCTGGTCAGGTACTCAGGTATATGCAATATCTGATAAGATATTGACCGGGTAGCCCATTCACTTGGTCAGTTATCCAGTCTTCGTCTGAGACCGGAAAACGGATCAAATTCCTGCCCGCACAGTACTGGACACGGTTACGGACTAGGTCCATGCCTATTTTTTTTTGAAGGGGTCCATGCTTAGCTATAATTCGATAAGATCTAAATATTATTCAATAATTAATATTTAGATATATTAGATAATATCAAAACACCTTGCAAAAAAAAGATAATATCAAAATATACGAATATCTTCTTATGTCGACTCATGTTGGTATCCTAAATTATTTTAGGACCAAGGCTGAATTATTTTTGTGTGGTAGATTATATCAAAATTTTTTCTGGATTATTATTATTATGTATATTTAATATTAAATTTCAAATTTATTAGAAAATATCAAATTTATGAGATTTAATCAAAATTTCTGTCTACATACCCAAGGCATGGCATCAAATTTCTCGCCCATTATCCTAAATTAAGTTTACTCTTATATATAGGGAGAATTTGACTTTGCACTCTACATTTTGGATACTATTGGACTTTGCACCCCATTTTAAAAAACCTTTGACTTTTCACCCGGCCTATCATATAACATTTGTGGAGGAAAATTTCAAAATGGGGTGCAAAGTCAAAGGATTTAAGTGAAATGGGTTTCAAAATCAAAGTTTTTTTAAAAATGGAATGTAAAATCCAATATGATCCAAAATGTGGGTGCAAAGTCAAATTCCCCAATATATATACCCGAAACAAACATTGCTAATTTGGTATACTAGATGTATATAAAATCAAACTGTTTTGGGAATACTACATAACTATACAGTCAACACAAGTTCTTCACCACTTCATAACTAAAGACTGGCCTGGGTGCCTTAATGAAATTTAAAATGGTACACACATATATATAGAACTTTTCGTTGAAGAAGATAAAAATTCTGACGAATTCGTTCGAATGATATGCTTTGGGGGAGGGGGAATCATGAACTGAGTATTATACTACGAACAATCACATTTAGGAAGAACAAAAACTGTATTTATTTAATTTGATTAATTAAAGTAGCAGACAATTCAGATGATCGATCGATCCTTCAGACATGTAGGTACACGTGGCAGCCGGGCGGCAGTTGCCACGAAGACCAGCATGATTTGTACTGTACTATACTAATTGACGACAGGAGGACTTGGACTGGGTTGAAACGAGCCGCCGACATCATCAGCCGGAGGCGACGATTCGGCGGCGTCGCAATAGCCTCTGAGAATGTCGGACTCCTCCGGGGAAACGCCGATGCCGGAGAGAACAGCCGGCCAGCAGTGGCGCGTGATGGTGGTGATGGCTTCGCAGCACTCTGCCCCAATGTCGATCGTCCCGTTGATGAAGTAAGCCTCGATCTCACTCATGCAAGACTTTATCTCCCACAGAGCATCCCAACACCCGGCTGAATCCGTTTCCAACCGGTGCCCGGCTATAAAGCCAACGGCCGGCGGTGACGCTGCCGGAATCTCTCTCCCGTAGACAGGGACGGATCCAGGATTCTGAGTCAAGGGGGGCGAAAATTTTCGCTAGTGTAGGGGGTGAATTTTTTTTGTTAGTGTAGCGGGGGTGAAATTTTTCCCCTAGTGTAGCGGGGCGAAATTTTTTTCGTTGCTGTAAAGCTATGCGTCTATTTTTATTCAAAAAATTACATTAATACATGCACATCCCGAGCGGCATTTAAATCTATTACATTCTAAATTTAGACGATGACAAAAACATCAACCAATACATTTTTAATAACTTCTACATTGTTTAACCTCATGAATCGGTTATTGAATTGTAATTTTTGTCCACCAATGGGCCGGGGGTGTTCGTGAGTCATGACTCATGAGAAGTTTTCTTAATATTACAATAGTAGTATACTAGTATGTATGTGATTGTTATTTTTAGAATAATATGCACCACATACACACACATATGGTGCATATTATATTTTAATATTTTTATTAATTCTATAATAATTTAGTTTATTATCCATGCAATAAATTATTTTTAGAAAGCAAGAAGTAAATGAATTATGTAATCTAATGTCCATAAATATTTATATTTTGGATTCATTTCACGTGATCTAAAAGTTGTGTAATTAGTGTGTCTGGTATTTAATATTGTTTAATATATGTTTTACAAAATCTAGTACTTGTTATCTAATAAAGATAATTAAACATTACAAAACTATGAATTCTTATATAATAAGTATCCTAAATCTTAAATAACGAGTTACTCTATTGTTTATTTGTTTAAGTTATGTAAATTATTTTAGATGTTTCTTCTTTTAAATCTCCAATTAAGTATTACATTATGTAATACTATATACTAATTTTGAAAATTAAAAAAGCTAAGGGGGGCGAATCTAATTAAATTATGAAAATTTTATGAAAATATTACATATATGGTAAAAAAAATTGAATGTCCAAGGGGGGCGGTCGCCCCCCCCGCGCCCCCCCCCTAAATCCATCCCTGCCCGTAGACGGAAGAAGCACGGTTCGAATTCGCGATGATGAACAGAAACCAGAGGGAAACAATCCATTTCATCTCGCCCATTGTACGTACGTTTAATTTGGAACTAGCTAGCTAATCTGATTAAGATCGGGAATGGTTGGTATGATGATCAGCATCGATCAATTTATATTGAGAGATTTACTTGGGGGAAGCTGAATCGTTTACGGATTGATTTTTTCCCACTCTCAAATAAATATTGGAATTCAGAGAGGTAGTATCGAATAAAACTGCTAGCTAGTTAAATCTATATGCCTTTTCATTTCAAAGGTTTGTAACGTAGTTTTTCAAAGATGAGTCGCCAGACACCTACTTAAGTCGTAAGTCGTAACATTGTAATAATTGCTTGAATTGCCGAATCTAATTAAATTTGTGAAATTCTCATTTAAACATTTGGTATATAATTTATAAATAATGTGGTATATAGATATAGATAATAATTGGTATTTAAAATGATAGTAACTTAATAAGATGATAATATGGTAGATATACTTCGTATATAGTATGTCGTGTGATAAACTAATGTGGTAAATAACTTCTGAAATATACTAGATGCTTTCTTGGGGACTAGTTTCAATTTCAGATAAAATGTTTCTAGTCTTGACTTATAAGGACAAAACCAGATCAAGCTTAAGTTTTTTCTTTTGAAAGCAGATCAAGCTAATTAAGTTGATCATCTTAATAAACCAATTTTGATAATAGCAAAATACACATAATATCAAATCAGATCAGACTTAAAAAAAATCGTATCAAACCTGAGCATAGATCTAATGAGATCATAGCTGATGGTATCATGGATCACAACCATGGCCCAAGACAAAATTAAAGAAAAGTCCATCAATAAGATCAACCCATTAATCGGGATTAATAATAATAATAATAATAGCCGCTGGGTCTAATTAAGGAACCCAACCCGAAAAAGGAACCCATAACCAGGTCAGGCTGGACAACAGACATCGAGCCTGGACGGAGTTCTAGTGAGGTCGGACTCTTCCTAGGGCTTATGTGGCAGGCTATATCATTCGAGCATAACTATCTGGCAGCAACAGGAAATGACGGAAGAAACGTGAACCTGAGGGAAACCATCATTGCACAACGTTCGAGACATTACATGACTCAAATTCAATTAATTGCATTAAATGTATTAGTTTCCTCCTAGAATTCTAGGACCTAGGGTCTATAAATATTTCTTGTACACATCCTACCAAGGATCCAAATTCCGGAATAATAATACTGTTTTACGCTGCCTAAATTTCATCTGCTATCGTAGATTAAACTATCGTAGTTGAATTAAACTCCATCAATACCACTCTAGAATTTTTCAATCCACGTAAAAGATTACTATTTAAATTTATCATAGGGAATTAATTTGATCGTTATTGATTCTAAAGTAAATATTAATAAATTTTAAATAATGTCACCATTTTCTATGGTGATGCCATACCAAATTAGAATTATCATAACATATTACATGTGTATTTTAATATATAGTGTTTGTTTCAATTTAATTTTTGTCATCAGCATTATAAAAATGATGACATTAGGGATACATATTTTTATACATGTCAGAACCTTTCGTAGATAATTGTTAATAATATTTTTGGAGTGAAAAGATATAATGTTAGACCCTAGATTTTGATGAACTGTTTTTGATGATGCCAAAAGCTTTTGTTTCTCCCCCCTTCTATTGTAGCATTATTATAGGAGTCTTTGTTATCCTCTATATATTGTAGCATCTTGCAGTTATCTAGTACTAAGAAAAATTATCTAGATGTGTCGTGCTCCTTTTTATAGTTAACAAATAAATGTGACTGGAAAACCATAAAATGCAATAAGGCAATATTGAATTGCCTTAAAAGGATATCGTATAAATCCAACCAGTTATATTTATTTGTTACACACAATAACATCTCGTACAAATGAACTATCTATTTTAACTGAAAAACAAAATGCAATAAGGTAATTTTACCTTAATAGGAATTGATATCCTACCAGTTAAATATTTAGTTTATCATGTTCGAAATACTAGATAAACCATACACTCAGAAGAAGAGTTCTTGATATTCTGTTCACTACAAAAGATAACAATGAAATTTCTATATATATAACAAATAGAACACACTGGGATTCAAAATCAAATAAGGTAAAGTTGTCTTTATCTTAAAATTGGATATTTAAATCCAACCAGTAAAGTGTTATTTGATATACAGATTAATCAAAGTGAACAAGAATATTGGTTAACTAATTGGAAAACAAAATGCAATAAGGTAATAATTTTTACCTTAAAAAGAATTTGATATCCTACCAGTTAAGTTAACAAGATACCTGCTTACAAGTGACAAGAATTCCAATGTACAAACTATGTATCAATTAAACATACTGGAACTATAAAATGCAATAAGGTAAAAATTATTTACCTTACATGGATATTTAGATCCAACCAGTATAGTCTTAATTTGATACATAAGTTTAATCATGTCACTTAAAGAAAGAAAGTGATTAGTAAAATAAGTGACAAATTTTACTGTGAAATTTTTACCAAATAAATTGTACTGGAAAGAACAAAATGCAATAAGGTAAGTTTACCTTAATAGGATATTTAAAAGATCCTACCAGTACAAAATTTATTTGGTACAAAATATTCTAAGTCACACATTTTACTACTTCACTACTTGAGCAGGTTCACGCACTCAGCTTCACGAGTGTAGTTGCAAGACAAGGCCAATACATTCAGAATGCAAGAGCAGAGAAGACAAACGAATGGGTGAATAGTGAAGAAGTTTCAGAATAGGCATGCAGCGATAAGAAGGCCTATGGTATGGGTGTTATCTTCGTACAAAGCAAGTGGTCTTCAAAGACAAATCCTTATCCTGCTCCAACACAAGAAGACGCAAGTACAATACTTTGGACGTCTAGGATTAAATCCTCTTAACCAACGGAGGAGATTAATCTACTGGAGATGCCTATAAAAATAGGCAGAAGCGTGAGATCAAAAGCAAGTCATTGAGTTCAAAGCAAATGGTTCAGTCATTACACTACGAATATCCAGCAAAAGAAAGAGTGCTTGAACACTCTGCTTTGACTCATGCTTCACTAAGCTCTTAGACTAGATCATTCATTGTAACATTTTTAGAGCTTAGGTTTTAGTTGGAGGTTAGAAACTTTGCGAACAAATTCATGGTGTTGTAAACACTTAGGAGAACAGTTGTTCGGATCCTAAAGTGTGGTTAGATAGATAGAGTACCTTTTGATCCACACTGGATCAATTGAGAAAAGTCTAAGGACTGAGTAACTTTGAGTGGTGTTATACTCATTGTGAAAAACCTTCAATCTAGGCCAGAGTTGTCAAGGCTAGATTGGCACTAAGTGTATTGGGCTTAATACTTTAGTGGAAATCCATCTGAAATAGGGTGGGACTGGATGTAGGAGGATTACATCACCTCTGAACCAGAATATATGGTGTGTTGATTTACTTTCATACATACAGAGCACACACCAAAACACATCTCACTAAAGGTTTGTAGTTTGCCAGCAGCATCCTAAGCAGTAGTCTTCATTGACTCTACTGCTTAGCCTACTGCTTAATAACTCACTCTCCTTGAGAGTGTTTTTCACTAGAAGTTGTCTTAAACTCAGAAGGTACCTCAACAGTACCTGGTCTTCACCCTCCTGCTGAGCCCACTGCCCATCCATACTTAGCTTTCCAAACTCCATAACAAGCCAGAAAAAAAAGCCATCCAAGAGTTATCCTATTCTTAACAGTTGCCTCAGCAGTAATCTGCCCACCAGCCAACTGCCAACTCAGCAGTTGCCTGCCAACCAGCCAACTGCCTGTACAGCAGCAGCCTAAGCAGTTACCTGCTCATCAGCCAACTGCCAAGCCTACTTCCTCTCATAACCAGTCTAAACACCATTTAAACTAGAAAGTTATCTCACAATAAGTATAAAGAGGTTAAAGACTTCCGCTGTGCATCTATTA